TAGTTGGTACATGCTTTTATTTTCTTCTTCAGGTAGATGAAATTTGATTGTCTTGATTTTTTTTTGATTGTCAGCTATTGTGCTTGCCTGTGGGGCTCACTGCTCTGGGCTTTGGCCCGGGATGGTGATCTCCCCCATCTTACTACAGTTTAAGTTTAACTGGTGTTTGTAGCCATTTGATAACTGGAGCAAAATAATCTACAATACTTTCTTTTGAACATGGGAGAGCCGATGGTACAGAAATTGACTTTTAATTTTCTATTTCCCAGATTTTTATCTGTGAATCTTTCTGATATTTCCAGCATTGTCTTTTCATAGGACCTGGCTTTTCACAATAAAACCAAACAACATCTCCCTGCACTGACCATCTATTTCTGTCATGTCCCTCACTACTGGGTGTAACCTTACACTGCGGAGTGTTAGATTTCATATGTCTCCTTATTTTGTCAATTAATCCTGCCGCATCTTCTAATCTCTCTTTCTCTGCAGCTACTGCAAGAGAAGTTGGATCCAAAAATGTAAACTTTTTTGTAACAAAATGTTTATTAGTTTTGTCATGAAAAAAAATAAACAGGACATTTCACATAGGATGCGGTGACAAATATCGTTCAGATAATGTGATTCAGGTAATAAGGCAGACCTTGGTCACAAGCACTATGCAAATATCCTCTAGTATATATTAAAAAAAAAAAAGAGAATAAAGCAGAGGAGAGAATAGAAAAGGAAAAGGTGAGGGGAAAGTCAGAGAGTCCATCGGTGTGAGTCGTATTGGTATTAGTTTAAAGTTGGTTTACAAGGTTCGCAGTTAGCCTCCAGGGGTGCACCCACCTCACCACTCATTAAATTGAGAAGCCTCTTTTTAGGTGTCTAAGGGTTTCCACATCCAATTCAGGGTGTTGGTGTAAAATCCAAGGCTCACAGATATTTAAAAAAATGGTATGTGTATCTGCTAGTATACAGGAGTCTTTCATAGATCATAATATTGTTGTATGGGATAAGTTGTTTTTTCCAATTGCTTGCCAAGGTCAATTTGGCTGCAAGGAAGATTTGATGTGTCAAAGACCCTTGGGATGTAGTCAAGCCAGGTACTGTAGCATGTAACAGAGCCTGCGTGGGGCCTTTAGGGATATGAGTATTAAATATACACGACATTAAACGGTAAATCCGAGTCCAGAAGCGGGAGGCAAATGGACAAGTCCTCTATATGTCGAACATGTCTCCAGGAAGATAGTGACCCAGGATATAGTGTGGTCCTGGTTCCCCTCATGGACAGGCTGAAAGATAGAAACAATGACAATAATAATTACACCCTCATTTTTAGATGAGGCCATTAACCTTACTAGTACTGACCTGGAGTTATTGTATAGAGACAACACCGATTAAGAAGGAAGTATTGCAGTAGGCAGTTCATTTGGAGATTTCTTTGGTAAAATTTGCAGCTGGTTTAAAGAGATAGCTATGATTTTTTTTTTTTTTTATGGCTTTATTTCTCATGTTTATTTTTTGCAATGAAAATTGTGATATGCTGTTGCAAATCCCTGGCTTTTACACATCCCCTAAAGAGCAAGACCAAATCACCCTCACCCACAGTGATCTACATAGCACCTGCTGATGGCGAATATTTGTCCTCCGAATTAGTTCAGGATCTCAGGGAAAGGCAACCATGTTGGAACATGAAGACCAAGGCCCTCCCATAGGTTTGGACTGTCCTTACCAGCCTAAGGGAAAATACCTAAGCCATGGAATCTTACATTGGACTTTTGAGTGTTTATAAATAAACAAAAACGGGTAATGTGTAAGACGCTATCTAGAGTTGTGCTAACCAAAGTCATTTTGTAAGTTAGAGCTGCTATTTAATTAGATTGCTGTGCTAAGAAATATGCAGTACAAGATTTTTGTTTTCATCCTGTCGTCTCACACATATAGCCATGTATTCTTTTACATCCTCTTCTCCGTTCTCATATGTCTTATCCTAGTATGGGAATGGAATTTAGTTAGATATGTGTCCTATTTTGCTATAAGCTACACTCTTTTTTCCAATAAACAAAAACCTTTTTTGCTTTCTGAGAGTGAAGTGTTCTTCATGCATATATTGGGAATTGCCATAGACAACAGATTATCGGCTTTAACACTTCAATGAAATATTAGAGTGTGTGACTTTTTTTGCCAGTGTATAGTTACAATAAAAGCAGAAATGTAGATTGGGCATTTAAACTCAAAGCAACCCAAAAATTTAATAGACTGTACCAATACCTTACCAGTCCATAGATGAATTGGCTTCATTAGTATTCTATGTTTCCAAGTATTTTTTCCTTTATTTTCTCATGGTACAGCTGTGTAACTCATTAAAATGGCAGCTCTAGTTAAAAAAAAAAAAATACTTATCAGCTCTCCACCTACCAAGCCCCGAGCTCAGACACTCATGACAATCAATGCCTTCTCACAGCATTCTGCAAACCTATGTCACCAGAGCCTTCAAGCAGGTTTCTGCACGTGCATGCGTGTATACACATACCATATATTCGCAAGATTCTGTTATTAGATTTTCAAATCTGTCTGCAGACTTTGGTGACATAGCCTTCCCTGGCTTTGGGAAGGCACTGATTATGCCACCGGTACTGAAGCAGTAGGCCTTGGAGACTTACTTGGAAATGCTTTTTAGATGAATGCTGCAGTTACCATTACACAGCTTTTTTTTTTTCTTAAAGGGACGTTATGGTGACACACACAAAGAAGATTGGTTAAATCTGGGGTGCAAGGTCTGCTTTAAAAAGTTAGGCAGAGTAAGGTCCAGTGTCAAAATACTTTGGGCTGCAAATGCAGCATGATTTTGACGCTTCTGAGATCATTGCAAGTGCATTTGACATTCGGTTTACCTCCTTTTTCAACTTGATGTTGCATTCCCTTTGATGAGAACAAAAGCCCATCAACAATGGCCCTTATTGTAGTAGGTAAATTACCCTGCTTCGAATAGCAATGAATCTATACATTTCTATCTTTAATTCCTTCAGGACTGTAATACCGTTTATTGTTTGTTTTATAGATGGTGATGGCTGTCCCTGTGCGGGCTCGGAACGACACAGCAGGTCTCTGCACATGGATCAGAGGGAAATCAGCACACTTCCAGGGGCTGATCTCCTCTGATTACTGAAACTAGAAGCACTGTGTATTTCATCACTTCTGGTTTGAGCCTGTAATTTTTCCGGCTACTGTGGCCGCAAAAGAAGCACAATCTGGGATCCAAAGGTGACATGAGCGGTCTAATAGACCCCTGATGTCTCCATAAGGAGGACCTGGCCCTGTATATATATGTGATAGTAATAAAGTTGTTAAAAAAAAAGTTAAAATATAGTCACATGTTAAAAACAAAACTTTTTTTTATTTAAGTTCCTCACCCCCATGTACATGCCCATACAAATGCAAACGTGTCAGGTGCGCCTACGTGTGGAATTGACAATTGCATCACAAATGTTACATATCACCGTGAACGTCCTAGTAAGAGCAATAGTTTTAATGCCATCACTCACAGTTAACACTAAATGCATGAATAGTGCAGGCTTTTAAAAGGAGAACTATGGGGTCAGGGCTTTTCCCCATAGTTCTCCTAAGGTTAACGGGAGGACACAAACTAGTTTCCTCCCGTCACCCAAAGCTCAGTATATCGCGAGCTACAGCCCACGGTATACCGAGACGCAGCGGCCGGGACGGATCCTGACATCACTGTTGAGATCCACCCAGCTGCGTGATTGACAACTGGCTCTGCCAATCTAGAGGCAGAGCCAGCTTTACCCACCCCCTCCCCCGTCCGTTACGCCAGTCAGCGCTGGAGGATCAGACAGGGGAGGGGGGGGAATCCCTGCAGGGAGCAGTGACAGTCATGGCTCTCTGCAGGGATAGATCGAGAAGTGAGCGAGCGACTGTATGTGTTCTCACTTCCCGATCTATTGAGCCGACCTGTGACGTTTCATTGTCACAGGTCAGCTAGAACTATGAGGCTGAGTGATTTTCACTCTCCATATAGCTCTCCTTTAAAGTATTGAATATTGGGCAATTTTGAGTACTGTTTTATTTTTTTATTTTAACGAGTGCACACCATTTTAAGGCTTGACAATGTGTGCTATCCATTTAACCAACATGACGCCCTCTTTTATATTATTTCAAAAATAATGATTATTATTTGTTTCTGTGCATTAAATTAATTTTAGTGTATTTTATCCTAAAAATACTGGTTTAATAAACATTTGCACAAATATTGTCAAAAAAAAAAACACAACTAGCATTTTTATTTTTTTCTACAGGGCCTCGACTTTCAGAAAATATATAATTTTTTAGGGGATTTTAAGCTGTTTTCAGGTTTTATCATGTGTGTGAGCAAATAAGAAATTGCTCTGGACGGGAAGTGGTTAATGATAAAACTAAAAATGGAAGATGAAGGATGTAAAAACTGGAAAGAAATCACACACTACTTTAACATAAACAATGCAATAATAATTCAAGATATGTGTTCACTGAAAATACATTATACTTTTTCTTCAAGATGTCAAATCAAGTTCAGTGCTTCAAATTAAGGAATGTAGAACAAGAAGAAAAAGTTAGAATTTTAGAACTAACTTACTGTTTCACAACAGTCTGACCTCATCACAAGATCATTCATATTTGATCATAAAAAAAATGATCCAAACCTGATATTATTCCAAACAGCTTGGCCCTTTAAGTCCATTTTCTTTTTTAGGCACTGAGACAGTTACTCGTATCTCTAAAAATTTTAACAGAGTAAATCACACATTATGTTTCCCCTTCTTCCTCACTATCCGATTCCTCTTCACTGTACTGGTACTGGACACGGTTGGTGTTGACAAACAGATCACAGTCATCCTCAGAGTCTTCATCTCGGTCTTCTGCTGCAGACGTCTTCCCAGTCATAGATTCTGCAGCTGCTTCTTTGTTGCTGCAATAAAAATATATTTGGTACAAAGAAAATCTGTGCTTTATATTTAGTGGTTAATCGTTTAAATGACAATTCCTCATATGACTGGCTGAGTAAGTCAAAGACTGCAGGGTCCACGGTGACTCTTGCTCAGTTTAGTGTAGTGCTACATTAACCACATGAAGACCGGGGTGTTTACACCCTCTTCCTGGCCAGGCCATTTTTCAGTATTCAGCACTGCAGTACTTTGACTGGCGTTTATTCTGTCATGCAACGCTGTACTGAAATGAATTTTATACCATTTTTTGTGGTGACAGATAGAGCTTTCTTTTGGTGGTATTTAATCCCCACTGGGGTTTTTATTTTATACTATATAACTAAAAAGTACCCAAAATTTTGAAAACTAAAAAACAGTTTCCCTTTGAAATGGTATGGAACATTTATCACCCCAATTTTTTTAGTAAAACATAAAAAGGTGGGGATCACATCGGGTAGACACCAAACATGTCAAGCCTTAAAATTGTGCGCGCCCACAAAAATTGCAGAAAATGACCATACCCAAATTTGGCCATAAAAGCTTTTACTGCTCATCAGTCTAGTGTTATCAGTGATTCATGGGCCTAAAATTATTGCTCGTGGCAATAGGTAACATGTGTGGCACGTTTTTGCAGGTTGGTGCACCCGACGCATGTTTGCGTGTGTACGTGGGGGGGAGGGGGGACTTAAAAAAAAAATGTTTGTTACTTTTTTAGCTTATTTATATTTTTTTTTAAAACCTTTTTTTTCCACACAACTTTTATTGCTATCGCATAGGGGGCTAAGAAACCCACTATGTGATAGCCAATTCACATGACAGGTCCTCTTTATGGAGACAGCAGGGGTCTCCAAGACCCCTGATGTCACCTAGGGACCCCCAGAGAAGCCGCTTCATCAGCTTCTCTCCGTCTTCTATACCGGAGAGTGACAGAGGAATGCGGAAGTGATGTAATATACATCACTTCCTGCATTCGGGGACAGGAGAGGAGTACTGATCTCCCTTTGATCTCCACTGACAGAGTCGCTGTGCCGGGCCCAGCCGCACCGGGCACAGCGGATCCCCGTCTCTAGTTACACAGATAGTCAGGTTGAAAAAAAGACATCAAAAAGTCCATCAAATTCAACCTAATTGAAAAGAAAAAAAAAAAGGCCTTAAACAGAAATGTTTGTAGCCATTTGATAACTGGAGCAAAATAATCTACAATACTTTCTTTTGAACATGGGAGAGCCGATGGTACAGAAATTGACTTTTAATTTTCTATTTCCCAGATTTTTATCTGTGAATCTTTCTGATATTTCCAGCATTGTCTTTTCATAGGACCTGGCTTTTCACAATAAAACCAAACAACATCTCCCTGCACTGACCATCTATTTCTGTCATGTCCCTCACTACTGGGTGTAACCTTACACTGCGGAGTGTTAGATTTCATATGTCTCCTTATTTTGTCAATTAATCCTGCCGCATCTTCTAATCTCTCTTTCTCTGCAGCTACTGCAAGAGAAGTTGGATCCAAAAATGTAAACTTTTTTTGTAACAAAATGTTTATTAGTTTTGTCATGAAAAAAAATAAACAGGACATTTCACATAGGATGCGGTGACAAATATCGTTCAGATAATGTGATTCAGGTAATAAGGCAGACCTTGGTCACAAGCACTATGCAAATATCCTCTAGTATATATTAAAAAAAAAAAAGAGAATAAAGCAGAGGAGAGAATAGAAAAGGAAAAGGTGAGGGGAAAGTCAGAGAGTCCATCGGTGTGAGTCGTATTGGTATTAGTTTAAAGTTGGTTTACAAGGTTCGCAGTTAGCCTCCAGGGGTGCACCCACCTCACCACTCATTAAATTGAGAAGCCTCTTTTTAGGTGTCTAAGGGTTTCCACATCCAATTCAGGGTGTTGGTGTAAAATCCAAGGCTCACAGATATTTAAAAAAATGGTATGTGTATCTGCTAGTATACAGGAGTCTTTCATAGATCATAATATTGTTGTATGGGATAAGTTGTTTTTTCCAATTGCTTGCCAAGGTCAATTTGGCTGCAAGGAAGATTTGATGTGTCAAAGACCCTTGGGATGTAGTCAAGCCAGGTACTGTAGCATGTAACAGAGCCTGCGTGGGGCCTTTAGGGATATGAGTATTAAATATACACGACATTAAACGGTAAATCCGAGTCCAGAAGCGGGAGGCAAATGGACAAGTCCTCTATATGTCGAACATGTCTCCAGGAAGATAGTGACCCAGGATATAGTGTGGTCCTGGTTCCCCTCATGGACAGGCTGAAAGATAGAAACAATGACAATAATAATTACACCCTCATTTTTAGATGAGGCCATTAACCTTACTAGTACTGACCTGGAGTTATTGTATAGAGACAACACCGATTAAGAAGGAAGTATTGCAGTAGGCAGTTCATTTGGAGATTTCTTTGGTAAAATTTGCAGCTGGTTTAAAGAGATAGCTATGATTTTTTTTTTTTTTTATGGCTTTATTTCTCATGTTTATTTTTTGCAATGAAAATTGTGATATGCTGTTGCAAATCCCTGGCTTTTACACATCCCCTAAAGAGCAAGACCAAATCACCCTCACCCACAGTGATCTACATAGCACCTGCTGATGGCGAATATTTGTCCTCCGAATTAGTTCAGGATCTCAGGGAAAGGCAACCATGTTGGAACATGAAGACCAAGGCCCTCCCATAGGTTTGGACTGTCCTTACCAGCCTAAGGGAAAATACCTAAGCCATGGAATCTTACATTGGACTTTTGAGTGTTTATAAATAAACAAAAACGGGTAATGTGTAAGACGCTATCTAGAGTTGTGCTAACCAAAGTCATTTTGTAAGTTAGAGCTGCTATTTAATTAGATTGCTGTGCTAAGAAATATGCAGTACAAGATTTTTGTTTTCATCCTGTCGTCTCACACATATAGCCATGTATTCTTTTACATCCTCTTCTCCGTTCTCATATGTCTTATCCTAGTATGGGAATGGAATTTAGTTAGATATGTGTCCTATTTTGCTATAAGCTACACTCTTTTTTCCAATAAACAAAAACCTTTTTTGCTTTCTGAGAGTGAAGTGTTCTTCATGCATATATTGGGAATTGCCATAGACAACAGATTATCGGCTTTAACACTTCAATGAAATATTAGAGTGTGTGACTTTTTTTGCCAGTGTATAGTTACAATAAAAGCAGAAATGTAGATTGGGCATTTAAACTCAAAGCAACCCAAAAATTTAATAGACTGTACCAATACCTTACCAGTCCATAGATGAATTGGCTTCATTAGTATTCTATGTTTCCAAGTATTTTTTCCTTTATTTTCTCATGGTACAGCTGTGTAACTCATTAAAATGGCAGCTCTAGTTAAAAAAAAAAAAATACTTATCAGCTCTCCACCTACCAAGCCCCGAGCTCAGACACTCATGACAATCAATGCCTTCTCACAGCATTCTGCAAACCTATGTCACCAGAGCCTTCAAGCAGGTTTCTGCACGTGCATGCGTGTATACACATACCATATATTCGCAAGATTCTGTTATTAGATTTTCAAATCTGTCTGCAGACTTTGGTGACATAGCCTTCCCTGGCTTTGGGAAGGCACTGATTATGCCACCGGTACTGAAGCAGTAGGCCTTGGAGACTTACTTGGAAATGCTTTTTAGATGAATGCTGCAGTTACCATTACACAGCTTTTTTTTTTTCTTAAAGGGACGTTATGGTGACACACACAAAGAAGATTGGTTAAATCTGGGGTGCAAGGTCTGCTTTAAAAAGTTAGGCAGAGTAAGGTCCAGTGTCAAAATACTTTGGGCTGCAAATGCAGCATGATTTTGACGCTTCTGAGATCATTGCAAGTGCATTTGACATTCGGTTTACCTCCTTTTTCAACTTGATGTTGCATTCCCTTTGATGAGAACAAAAGCCCATCAACAATGGCCCTTATTGTAGTAGGTAAATTACCCTGCTTCGAATAGCAATGAATCTATACATTTCTATCTTTAATTCCTTCAGGACTGTAATACCGTTTATTGTTTGTTTTATAGATGGTGATGGCTGTCCCTGTGCGGGCTCGGAACGACACAGCAGGTCTCTGCACATGGATCAGAGGGAAATCAGCACACTTCCAGGGGCTGATCTCCTCTGATTACTGAAACTAGAAGCACTGTGTATTTCATCACTTCTGGTTTGAGCCTGTAATTTTTCCGGCTACTGTGGCCGCAAAAGAAGCACAATCTGGGATCCAAAGGTGACATGAGCGGTCTAATAGACCCCTGATGTCTCCATAAGGAGGACCTGGCCCTGTATATATATGTGATAGTAATAAAGTTGTTAAAAAAAAAGTTAAAATATAGTCACATGTTAAAAACAAAACTTTTTTTTATTTAAGTTCCTCACCCCCATGTACATGCCCATACAAATGCAAACGTGTCAGGTGCGCCTACGTGTGGAATTGACAATTGCATCACAAATGTTACATATCACCGTGAACGTCCTAGTAAGAGCAATAGTTTTAATGCCATCACTCACAGTTAACACTAAATGCATGAATAGTGCAGGCTTTTAAAAGGAGAACTATGGGGTCAGGGCTTTTCCCCATAGTTCTCCTAAGGTTAACGGGAGGACACAAACTAGTTTCCTCCCGTCACCCAAAGCTCAGTATATCGCGAGCTACAGCCCACGGTATACCGAGACGCAGCGGCCGGGACGGATCCTGACATCACTGTTGAGATCCACCCAGCTGCGTGATTGACAACTGGCTCTGCCAATCTAGAGGCAGAGCCAGCTTTACCCACCCCCTCCCCCGTCCGTTACGCCAGTCAGCGCTGGAGGATCAGACAGGGGAGGGGGGGGAATCCCTGCAGGGAGCAGTGACAGTCATGGCTCTCTGCAGGGATAGATCGAGAAGTGAGCGAGCGACTGTATGTGTTCTCACTTCCCGATCTATTGAGCCGACCTGTGACGTTTCATTGTCACAGGTCAGCTAGAACTATGAGGCTGAGTGATTTTCACTCTCCATATAGCTCTCCTTTAAAGTATTGAATATTGGGCAATTTTGAGTACTGTTTTATTTTTTTATTTTAACGAGTGCACACCATTTTAAGGCTTGACAATGTGTGCTATCCATTTAACCAACATGACGCCCTCTTTTATATTATTTCAAAAATAATGATTATTATTTGTTTCTGTGCATTAAATTAATTTTAGTGTATTTTATCCTAAAAATACTGGTTTAATAAACATTTGCACAAATATTGTCAAAAAAAAAAACACAACTAGCATTTTTATTTTTTTCTACAGGGCCTCGACTTTCAGAAAATATATAATTTTTTAGGGGATTTTAAGCTGTTTTCAGGTTTTATCATGTGTGTGAGCAAATAAGAAATTGCTCTGGACGGGAAGTGGTTAATGATAAAACTAAAAATGGAAGATGAAGGATGTAAAAACTGGAAAGAAATCACACACTACTTTAACATAAACAATGCAATAATAATTCAAGATATGTGTTCACTGAAAATACATTATACTTTTTCTTCAAGATGTCAAATCAAGTTCAGTGCTTCAAATTAAGGAATGTAGAACAAGAAGAAAAAGTTAGAATTTTAGAACTAACTTACTGTTTCACAACAGTCTGACCTCATCACAAGATCATTCATATTTGATCATAAAAAAAATGATCCAAACCTGATATTATTCCAAACAGCTTGGCCCTTTAAGTCCATTTTCTTTTTTAGGCACTGAGACAGTTACTCGTATCTCTAAAAATTTTAACAGAGTAAATCACACATTATGTTTCCCCTTCTTCCTCACTATCCGATTCCTCTTCACTGTACTGGTACTGGACACGGTTGGTGTTGACAAACAGATCACAGTCATCCTCAGAGTCTTCATCTCGGTCTTCTGCTGCAGACGTCTTCCCAGTCATAGATTCTGCAGCTGCTTCTTTGTTGCTGCAATAAAAATATATTTGGTACAAAGAAAATCTGTGCTTTATATTTAGTGGTTAATCGTTTAAATGACAATTCCTCATATGACTGGCTGAGTAAGTCAAAGACTGCAGGGTCCACGGTGACTCTTGCTCAGTTTAGTGTAGTGCTACATTAACCACATGAAGACCGGGGTGTTTACACCCTCTTCCTGGCCAGGCCATTTTTCAGTATTCAGCACTGCAGTACTTTGACTGGCGTTTATTCTGTCATGCAACGCTGTACTGAAATGAATTTTATACCATTTTTTGTGGTGACAGATAGAGCTTTCTTTTGGTGGTATTTAATCCCCACTGGGGTTTTTATTTTATACTATATAACTAAAAAGTACCCAAAATTTTGAAAACTAAAAAACAGTTTCCCTTTGAAATGGTATGGAACATTTATCACCCCAATTTTTTTAGTAAAACATAAAAAGGTGGGGATCACATCGGGTAGACACCAAACATGTCAAGCCTTAAAATTGTGCGCGCCCACAAAAATTGCAGAAAATGACCATACCCAAATTTGGCCATAAAAGCTTTTACTGCTCATCAGTCTAGTGTTATCAGTGATTCATGGGCCTAAAATTATTGCTCGTGGCAATAGGTAACATGTGTGGCACGTTTTTGCAGGTTGGTGCACCCGACGCATGTTTGCGTGTGTACGTGGGGGGGAGGGGGGACTTAAAAAAAAAATGTTTGTTACTTTTTTAGCTTATTTATATTTTTTTTTAAAACCTTTTTTTTCCACACAACTTTTATTGCTATCACATAGGGGGCTAAGAAACCCACTATGTGATAGCCAATTCACATGACAGGTCCTCTTTATGGAGACAGCAGGGGTCTCCAAGACCCCTGATGTCACCTAGGGACCCCCAGAGAAGCCGCTTCATCAGCTTCTCTCCGTCTTCTATACCGGAGAGTGACAGAGGAATGCGGAAGTGATGTAATATACATCACTTCCTGCATTCGGGGACAGGAGAGGAGTACTGATCTCCCTTTGATCTCCACTGACAGAGTCGCTGTGCCGGGCCCAGCCGCACCGGGCACAGCGGATCCCCGTCTCTAGTTACACAGATAGTCAGGTTGAAAAAAAGACATCAAAAAGTCCATCAAATTCAACCTAATTGAAAAGAAAAAAAAAAAGGCCTTAAACAGAACGCTATGCCCACAGTTACCAACTGTTGATATGAGAGGAAGGCAACCCCCC